AGGCCCAATACTACTGGTACTGGGGGTGTTGCTAACTGTGTTAATAGGAATACTGCTTACTATTTCTTAACAGCTATCCAACATTGCTCTTTTATTCAGGATAGCACTACACGTAACACCGCCACGAATAACACGGAATAACACGGAAATATACAAATCGATTGCTTCCATACGAATCGATTGCTCCCTTGCTTCCATATGGATCGATTGCTTCTTCCGTACAAATTGATTGCTTCCATACGAATCGATTGCTCCCTTCTTGCTTCCATACGGATCGATTGCTTCCATACGTATCAGCATCCTACTACGTATCAGCATCCTACGTATCAGCATCTCCATATCAGCGTCTGTATCAGCATCCTACGTATCACCAGCATCCTCCGCATCAGCGGCTTTCGTATCAGCGACTCGTATCAGCAGCTCGTATCAGCGGCTTGTATCAGCGGCTCGTATCAGCATCCTCCGTATCAGCATCCTCCGTATCGGCATCCTCCTCCGTATCAGTGGCTCGTATCAGCGGCTCGTATCAGCGGCTCGTATCAGCATCCTCCGTATCAGCGGCTCGTATCAGCATCCTCCGTATCAGCATCTCCGTATCAGCATCTCCGTATCAGCATCCTCCGTATCAGCATCCTCCTCCGTAGTATCAGTGGCTCGTATCAGCGGCTCGTATCAGCGGATCCTCCGTATCAGCATCCTCCGTATCAGCATCCTCCTCCGTAGTATCAGTGGCTCGTATAAGCGGCTCGTATCAGCGGCTCGTATCAGCGGATCCTCCGTATCAGCATCCTCCGTATCAGCATCCTCGTCCGTATCAGCAACTCCCCCCCCCATGATGGATCCGCACCTTCACTGGTGAGTGTCCTCCGTATCAGCAAGCGTCCTCCGTATCAGCATCCTCCGTATCAGCATCCTCCGTATCAGCGACTCGTATCAGCGACTCGTATCAGCATCTTCCGTATCAGTGGCTCGTATCAGCGGCTCGTATCAGCATCCTCCGTATGAGCAACCTCCGTATCAGCAACTCGTATCAGCATCCTCCGTATCAGTGAGCCTCCGTATCAGCATACTCCTCCGTATCCTTATCAGAGGATCACCATGGTGGGCAAGTCACTTTTATGCTCGCTGAGTGAGTGAGCTGCATGCATTCCTACTACACAAATTCCTACAGAAATTTAGTACTAGAAAATAATCAATCATCGCCAAYGACTCCAGTCCCTWKTATGTGGGAGTGTGTATCATTATTTGTATCATTCAGTTAGCAGTTATACGGTGGGTTATTATACTTATTAGGCGACTCTGGTAGTTAATAAAATAATACAAGTACACACATCAGCACCGTAGAAATGTACACAAAAAAATTTTGGTACTACTAAATATGAGGGGTACGAAAATGTGTACCATATAATATACAGTCAAACAACGGTAAAAAATACATGTGTATCATTTAGCAGATACCGTACACGTATCATGATCGTCACTATCATGATTTTTATTACAATCGCAGGGAATGTGAAGAAATAAAGATTCAAAAAATAGATGATATTTTGTGCAATAGCCAATTACCGATCAATACACAGATGTGCGTTTGGAATTGTTTGATGGCGACTCGTCTTTATGTATTATGAATGCGCCACGTTTACTATACTAATGATTGTTTTTTAAAAAGCCTGATAGAGTTCTTTTTGACAGCAAGGAAGATGACGTGTGACGTAGTCGAATGATGTCATGTCAATCAATCACAAACTTCAAACAAGGGATCCCGTAAGACAGACATTATTTACGGGATTATTTACGGGATTGTCTGTTCGGGAAACCACCGCCAATAAAAAAATATGAGATGCGTGTTTCTCTTCGCGTTCAATACAGTACTTATTACCGTATGGTACGAAACGAAAATTTCGTGATCATTTTTCAAAATCGTTGTTGCGCTGAGACAACGGTGTCATACTCATGAGAATAGAAAATGACAGCTATCTCAGCCTCAACCCGCGGTTCTAGAGACAACTGCTCAGAAGACGTCTATGGTAACTTACGACTCGAAGTATCCAAGATGACAATCATCGACGGAGATAACCATCATTTCCAACACCCGAAGCAGCAACGAAAGAGTAGAAGACAAGACTCGCTACCACCTGTACCACAACAGCGATCTATTAAAAAAACAAGTCCTGCTCGTCGGTCCTTCTTACAGACGGCTTGGCGCCCTGAAAGTGAGTCCTTTCGTCTTTTGACACCTGTACCTCCGATCATAGAAGACAGCGAACAGCAAGAGTCATCATCGGAACCGTCACTTTTCTACCCTGTTCAGCCATCCGAAACAATACAAGCAGAAGTGTCAAATACCAAAATGAACTATCCCGGACGAAAAAGACAACGACCATTTCAAAGCCGTCTCGCCCCTCCTCCACTGCTTCCCAGTTCTTTTGAACTTGACGATACAGCCAATAGCAATCCATATAAACGGCACGTCGCGATACATTCACCAATCCCGGGGATTGGAAACAGCTTGAACCTTGACTTCGTAGCGAAGATTAAGTCATCGAAATCACATTTTAACGAACGATCGAAGATGATCCCATCGTGTCTTCTGGAAGAAAGACGGAGTGCATCATCATCGTCATCATATTTCACACCAGCATCGTCCTCCGTTTTGCCGCGAGAGATGGATACGATCAAAATATTCTTCCCTATTCCCGACAATGCACTCGACGTCATAGAGGAAACACCAGGAGACCGAGAACAAGATCATAATTCTATTTCTATAGGGAGAATGGCGCTGAAGATGCGACGGCGATATCAAAATAATGATAACCCTCGCAATATTTTCGAACCAACGGAGCTTACAGCATGATATCGCAACACTCTGCGAAATATCCGCCATCGTCCCCGTTCTTCCGACGCTCCTATAATGATCATGATGTAATCTAATTCTAGGTTGACTATTTGTGTTTTCATTGTAATGAAAAAAATGGTATAATTTAACAGGATCTATGTCAAAAAGATGTCGTCAACAACTTGACGCCTCAACAACTTGACGTTTGAAGCTGTACGGCACAATTTTGGATCTCAATATTACGTTACCTTCGTACAACTCGTCTTGCCAAAGGTATCGAACGAGGGTGTGAAATTGCGTGCAGAAATCGACTTTAAAATTTCATATTGTATGTCATTGGTGGTGTCAATGGTGAATCTTAAACGATGTTTGTGACGAGAACGAAAGTACCAAAGTACTGTACCGTATAAAAACGGTACTAGTCCAGATTGCAAAAGTCGAGTCCTAAGTAGTGATTGGTCACGGCACATTGGTGCAACAATATTGTGAATAAAAAAGAGAGAACCTTTGGTCTAAACATAGCAATATGTTAATATTACCACGTCACTCTTAAAATTCTGTATCACTTACGATCGTTTAACGCACGAAACATCCTTAAATAATACTTGTACCGGTAGAGAAATAGATTTTCTGGCAACTTGAAAAAATGACAGAAAGAGGAAACAAAGTACTGTATCGGGGACGTTACGAAACGACTCATAATCAGATACTTTAAGCTACTGGACGTACGGCTCAGCTACTGAGTCACGTACGACTCAGAACCGGATACTTTAGGCTACTGGACCAGCCACGTGCCTACTGATATCTAAATAAAGTAGCTTAAAGGTAGCTATTTTTATGCTACTTAAAAGTAGCTTTAAAGCTGCTTTAAAGTGACTTTTAATTAGCTTAAAAGTAGCTATAAAGCTGCTTTAAAGCTACTTTAAAGTAGCTTAAAAGTCGCTTTAAAGCTGCTTTAAAGGTACTTAAAAGTAGCTGAAAAGTCGCTTTAAAGCTGCTTTAAATCTCCTTTAAAGCTACTTAAAAGTTGCTTTAAAGCAGCTTTTTGGTAGCCATTGGATTACCAATGTATACACATTGATGAATAAAGATACTTAAGGGCATAGATCTTATAATTTAGAGCGTCGATTGTCTTTCCGTTAATTATTTTCAATCGTGGGACTACCTTGATGATTATATATTAAGATCTGTTTATTTTCAATATTCAATTATTCTTATTAATTAATGGTTATATATATAGTATATTATAATTCACAATCCAACGGCTACCAAGCTACTTTTAAGCTACTTAACGCTACTTTATTTTTTGCGCTCACTATGCTCAGGGCGGCTTATATATCAGTAGTAGGCACGTGACTCAGTAGCTGAGATTTAGGTCCAGTAGCTTAAAGTACACGGTTATGAGGAAGCACGCGTCTCAGTAGCTGAGCCGTAGGCCCAGTAGCTTGAAGTATCTGGTTATGAGTCGTTTCATAACATCCCAGAGGAACTGTTGATATCTTCCAAAAGAATGAGCGAACCGTCATTTTTCTGTATGATCCTTGGTCCCAAAATTAAAAAATCATCTCAAGCAGTGTTTTTTCATTATTTGAATATTACTGGTCCTGCATAGTAGTAGTAGTATTAGCTACTAGTATTAGTAACACTAGTGAAATCACTTAACTTTTGACTAGTACTTGTGGCAACAAGAACAACATAGTAAAAATTCACCCTTAGATAGTACTTTAAAGTACTTCTTGCTTCTTGTTGACAAACAAGTGGATAATTCAGCAGAATCCTTCTCACAAAGAACTTGTCTACTACTAGTAGTACATCATGATCATATTCTTGTTGTTGTTCCACCAGCAGCAGCCATAAACTACAGTCCATTCTTTGTTTGGTACTACTACTACTGCTAAGACATACTAAACATCTCTTATTTATGTAGTAATTCTCATGCCATCTGTTCTTGTTAGTACTAGGTACTAGTAGTATCATCACCATGACTCTATTACCACTAGTGCTACTACTACCAGTACCAGTATAATTTTCACATTGAATGTTTTCAAACGCGCAAAATTACACTTCAGTTCTGAGAATTATCACCTAGAATCCCTACTGATTCCTACGTAGTTCCTACTTGACCAGCATCTTCTGGTGGCATCCGAACCCACCATGGTGACGTCCMCTTTGGAAGGGGAAAATCCACCTCCCTGGCTCCATTCAAGAGGCAACCAAGCAATGTAAGCAAGACTATTCTAAGATTATCAATATCCCCCAGCTGGTGGTGGTAGTTTGCCCTAGCTGAATCCATCCCCATTCCTCCAGAAGCACCATACGACCGGTATGGTATCTTCCGGTGTTGAAGTTGTTTCTGGCATCCGTGCCGGATGGCAACAACAACAACCCCAGCCCCAGTATTCAAACAAGATCTAGTGAAGAAGAACGACGCCTGGAGTATATGCTACATCATACTCAGTTTTCATTCCCCAGCATCTCCATGCAGTTCCAGTATTTTATGGACCAGAAGAGTTTTCCAGTCAGGTTGTTGTTGTTTCCGACATTCGTGCCGGAGCACAACAACAACAACCCCAGCCCCCAGTATTCAACCAAGACCTAATGCAGAATAAAGCGTGGAGTATATGCTAAATCATACTTAGTTAAAGACAATTCCCCAGCATCTCCATCTCCATGCAGTTCCAGTATTTTATGGACCGGAAGAGTTTTCCGGTCATGTTGTTGTTGGTTCCGACATTTGTGCCGGAATGCAACAACACCAACCCCAGCCMCCAGTATTCAACCAAGACCTAGTGAAGAACAAAACCTGGAGTGTATGCTACATCATACTCAGTTTTAAAAAGATTCCCCAGCATCTTCATGCAGTTCCTACAGTTCTCTAATATTTTACGGACTGGAAGAGTTTTCTGGTCATGTTGTTGTTGTTTCCGACATTTGTGCCTGAGAGCAATAACAACAACCCCAGCCCAGTATTCAACCCAGACATATCAAAGAACAAAGCCTGGAGTGTATGCTACATCATACTCAGTTTCAAAGAAGATTCCCCAGCATCTCCATGCAGCTCCCACAGTGTTCCAGTTCATTTACAGAACGGACGAGTTTTCTGGTCATGTTGTTGTTGTTTTCAACATTCGTGCTGAAGAGCAATAACAACAACTCCAGCCCCAGTATTCCACCAAGACCTACTATTGAAGAACAAAGTCTGGAGTATATGCTACATCATACTCAGTTAAAGATGATTCCCCAGCATCTCCATCTCCATGCCGTTCCAGTATATTACGGACTGGAAGAGTTTTCCAGTCAGGTTGTTGTTGTTTCCGACATTCATGCCAGATAGTGACAACAACAACCCCAGCCCCAGTACTCAACCCAGACCTATCAAAGACCCCCAGCAGTATTCAATCCAGACCTATTCTTTGAAGAACAATGCTTGGAGTGTATGCTACATACATACTCTAAAGAAGATCCCCCAGCATCTCCACGCAGTTCCAGTCTTTTCCAGACCGGAAGAGTTTTCCGGTCAGGTTGTTGTTGTTTCCAACATTCATGCCAGAAGTCAACAACAACAACCCCAGCCAATACTGCATCAGTATCACTCCCAGTACTATTCCCTCCAGTTGAGTGCAGTTCTGCCTCAGCTGGATCCATCCCCAGTTCTCAAGGACTGGAAGCTCCAGTGCTTCCGGTCATGATTGTTGTTGTTCCTGTCTAATGTGGTGGACAGAAACAGCAACACCCCCAAGTGTTTAACCCCGTGACTAGCGGTGACAGAATTGATTGATTTATTTTCAGTTTCTTCTTCAAGAAGAAGCTCAAACAGCTGCTCCTTTGGGCGGGCTCAGCTATGCTGATTTGGTGAAAGAAGTGTGACTTTTCCGTTTATCTTTTTCTTTTTGGCTTTTCTTTTTTTTGATTTTTGACTCCATGTGTCCTCGCCCACTGGGGTGAGACTTGCCTTAATTGGCTTGGCAGTGTGCGTGGCACACATTTCCTTGATCACTGCGTGTGGTAACTTGCCTACGGGTTGGGGCTTGAGCACCCCCAACCTACAGGCTTGGCAGTGCCCCTTTGAAATGATAATGGCATGGTTCTCATCCATCCAAACTGTGAACTGACTGCTTTTATGTCCTCTGAGTCCAGCCTTGGGCCATCATTGGCCTATCAGTGTGCATAGAACTTGGTCGCACCTCCACAAAACCTCCTTGGAGGGAGGCGCCACCCCTCCAAGCAGCTAGAAGCATTCTTTCTAACGAAAGCTATGGTTCTGGCCATATAGTGCCTCTTCTAGTTCATGAGGTTAAATATAATATTAAGATTTTTTTACTACCAGTACCAGTAGCTAGTAGTAGTTTCTTCTTCTTGTTCACCCTTCTTTTTGTTGTTGGAAAACTCAATAAACAACAAGAGTTCTACCAGGAGTAGTAGCTAGTGGGTAGTAGTACTAATAGTACAATCAGTAGCACAAGAGTAATCCAATTGGCATCAGTTTAGTACTCATAACAATTACTACTATTGTTGAGTTGTAAGACAATGAGGACCTACTAGTAGTAGATTCATGCAAAGACAACAACAAGAACTACTATTACTATTTGTACAATGATAGTATAACTACTACTACTAGTCTAGGTAGAACATATAACAGGAGGTGGAGTGTATAGACTACTGGCCAACAATTACTGCTGCGGCTGTGAGGAGCTGATTGAACAATAGCCCCAGAACTCAGCAGTAGCCAATATCAGTCAAAAAGATGCCTAACTCACCTCTTTGGTTGTTCTTGACAGAGTGCTACTACTGTTTCTTTCAACTCATACAGTAACCATCACAACAAGGTAAGAACTAGTAGTTGCATTTTCTTCTAAACTTGTTTCCTTCTTTGCCTGTAATGACCGTACTCCAGAAATACAATGCAATCCTACCAGTATTAGATACGTTCCAATGAAAGCATGTCATAGTAGTAGCACTCCAATCAATTTTACAGCTGTTGCTCTTGGCAATACTCTACAAACCAGCTTGGTCGTAGCCAGGGCTGGCCATGGTGATGGCATGCCTATACTACCAAGTATAGCGTTGGTGGTGTTGGTGTGGAACCATACTTGTGAATTTGTTGCGAATCAATCAAATGGAATGAGAAGATTCGATCTGGTAGCCTTTTGGTCGGAGCCACCTGCGATCGACACAAGATCGTGCGCGAATCGCTGGAATGCACTCCTGCGAACACGGATGGGATGTCCACTAGCTACGGTACCTCCCATGCAAAGTTTTGAGAATGGAACGCTCCCCCTGTAGATTGTGCGAGCCTACGAATACTCGTAGAGCATGCCAAAAATTGGAGAATCCAGTGGCGGTACACCCCCGTTCATAGGCATACAGATTTCGTCCGAATCGGAAAGGCTCCAAACAATGAGAAAAGACCGGGTTTCTGTAGCTTCGAATATCGCTATTACTGTAGTAAGTGAAAATGAAAAATTCTACTCGGGGTACACCGGATGCAGCAAGCGTCTCGGTTGCTCGGAACCCGCAGCGTACTGGTTGCTTGATGTCGCCGCAGCCATGGTGCCGGCCGAGGAAGCGCAATCCCGGAGCGCGATTCCGAACCCAAACGAACCCAGGGGTTCCGTGGCGTTCCGTGCGGAGAGCGCGTCCTGCCGAGCCACGGAAGGCCGCAAGCATCGTTCTCGACCCCCCTCGGCGGCACCGCGCGTGCACATTCCACGACTGTGTCGCACCGCATCATCCATCAGTCTTTCAAAAAATCGATGCCGTCGAAATCCTTCGTCTTTTTGGTGAACCAAAACCAGTTGGAGGGCTTCCTCGCGAACTGCTTGAGGGTGAATCGCTTGGAGCTGATAAAGGGAAAGAGTTCTTCCGCGACGATGTCCTTGTCGTAGGGATCCCCCCGGACGATCCTCCAGTATTCGGACAAGAAGTGTACCTGCCGGAGCCCCACCACCACGTCGAGCGGGGGCGGCAGCAGGGCCCACCACGGGTGCAGGGGGGGTTCCGGCTCCCCGGCCTCCTCTCCCGGGAGTGCCAGACCGGCCAGGAGTTCCTCCCGGACGGCCTCGTCCTCGAAGCACAGCTCGTTCACCCGGCGGTAGAGATTGACCTGCCCGGTCAGGATCCAGGCCCCGGCCGCCTTGAGAAGGAGCTCGCCGCCCGGGACGTGCAGGAGGGCCATGGGGAATCCCAGCAGGACCCCAAAGACAAAGGGGAAGAGTGTCCCGTAGCCGCCGCACCCGGTGACGTACCCGTTCTTGCTGGTCCGGAGCTCGTGCTGGAAGAGTTCTTCCTCGACGCTGAACTTGTAGTAGCCGTACCACCCCAGGGCGGTCGGGACGCTGCCCAGGATCGTGAACCACACCGGCCTCGACAGGCCCGGGACCTCGGGCGGGGCCACCAGCTTCGAGAGAATGTCGGTGGGGCTGTCGGGGCCACCCTCCCGGATCTCGACGTAGTTTCGTACCGGCTCGATGACCAGTCCCTTCCAGAACTCGTTGGTCCCCTTGCAAAAGTCGGAGACGTCCTCTTCGGAAAAGATCGGCGCCGACGACGATTTCGTCGTCGTACCAGGCGCGGCGTCCCCGCCGTCTCCTTCCGTACCCCACAGGGCCGAGGGGGACGCCCCCCCGCGCACCGGAGCCCTGCAGCGGCTCCCCCCGGCACCCCTACGGAAAGGCGATCGGGGATGGGACCACCCGAGAGCGGACCGGGGGAGTGCCGCGAGGAGCACCAGCCGCAGCAAGGGAAGCATCATCGTCKTGTCGGTGTTGGAATGGCGGTGACCGTTCGAGAGCGATCTCTGTTGTGTTGTGTTGTGTTCGATTCGGTTCGGTTCGGGCGGCCCGATTTCTGTGGGTTCTTTCCCGTCCTGTCCAGCAGGGTAGGAATTAGGAATGAATCGGTTCACAACCGCAATGAAGTACGAGTACGAGTACGAGCACTGAATACACCATGTACTAATGTCTACTAGGAGTACGTACGTTCAAGGTACTAGTACGTACGTACCTGGTACTTCTACTCATTTTGATCGTTCACAGTTAAGGGGGTTCCTCCTTCGTACTCGTAATTAGGCAAAATGATCGAAGTTACTACCGGTAGGTACGTACGTAGTTCAAAGTCTACGTGCGTACTCGTAGTCGTATTCTGCAAGATACGGTGTACTAGGAGTGACTCAGACTGACCCCATACCTCTATCTAGTTGTTCGTATCGTACCGTACGTACGTACTGGTACCTACTACTATTTACCACGACAAGAAGCAAGGTACCTGGTATGGAATACGACTACGTAGTATTGTACGCACCAGTACGGTACTTTCTACTCTAGCAACAGCATGTAATGGTACCGTATGGTAGGATCTAGGATCCGTCTACTCTAAAGTACGAGTACGTACTCGTACCGGTACCTCCGATTAGAGCTGGCAACAGCAAACAAGCACCTCTGGCGAACAACCAAGACCTTGCCGCCGAGAGACCATCGTACTACCGCTACAACCAAAGCAACCGAAGAGCAAAGAAAGAAAGAGAGGGCATCGCACCTACCGCACAAAGCATTCCAACCCAGAAAGACAAGGCAAACCGTAGAGATGAAAGGGCTTCGAACCCGAAAGGGCGGCCTCGGGGTCGTGCGGTCCTTGGCAACGGCCGCCGCAATCCTGTCGATCGCAGCAAGGACGGAACAAGGGCCCGGACCGAACACGACGCCGGCGGTCGATGCCCTTTCCTTCCAAAGCGGGAGACACACCCGCAACCACCGCCGCGATGCCTTCCGCAGCAAGCATTCTTCCCCGCCGTTGCCCGCTCTCGCTTCCGCGGCCTTGTCGGTCGATGGTGGAGGCGGCGACGGGGACAGCAATCCTTTGTACGACGACGACGACGGCGACGAGACCACGCCGGTCGACGAGGAGGTCGACGTTGCAATCATCGGTGCCGGGATCGGTGGGCTGGCAGCGGGGGCCATCCTCAACACGGTCTACCACAAAAAGGTCGGGGTGTACGAATCGCACTACCTGCCGGGCGGGTGTGCCCACGCCTTTGAACGGCTGGCGCCCCGGGCAGCGGCAACCGCCGGCGACGCCCCGCGGAAGCCCCCCCTCCGGTTCACCTTTGACTCGGGACCGACGATCGTTCTGGGGTGCTCGCAAAAGCCCTTCAACGGCCTCCGGCAGGTGCTGGACGCCGTCGGTCAATCGGTCGATTGGATTCGGTACGACGGCTGGGGGATGATCGAGCGCCCCCGGTCCGCCGACGCTTCGGTCCGGTGGAAGTGCGAACTGGGACCCGAGACCTTCCAGCAGGGCCCGCTCCTCGAATTCGGGGGCCCAGAGGCCGTCGAAGAATTCGAGGCCCTCCGCGAAAAGACCAAAGACCTGGTCGTCGGGGTGGGCATTCCCGCCGCGGCGATGCGGCCGGGGTCCACCGCCCTGATCCCCCTGCTGAAATACTTTCCGACGCTCGTCCGGCTGCTCTCGGTCGGACCGGACAAGCTCACGGGGACCTTTGCCCCTTACATGGACGGGCCCGAGTTCACCGTCAAAAGCCCGTGGCTGCGGGACTGGCTGGACGCCCTGGCCTTTTCCCTCAGCGGGCTGCCCGCCTCCCGAACCGCGGCGGCCGCCATGGCCTTCATCGTGGACGACATGCACCGGGAGGGCGCCGCCCTGGACTACCCGAGGGGGGGCTTCGGGGCCGTCATCGACGCCCTGTGCCGCGGCGTCGAGCAGAACAGCGGCGGAAGCTTGGGCAGCGGCGGCCCCTCCAAGATCCACCTGCGGACGCACGTGGACAAGATCGACTTTGCTCCCGACGGATCCAGGGCGACCGGGATCACCCTCTCGAACGGGAAACGGATCGTGGCCCGGGAGGGGGTCGTTTGCAACGCGCCCGTCTGGACCCTCCGGAGCCTGATCCGTTCCAAAGACGCCGGGGCCCTGGGCAGGCTGTCCGGGATCCTTCCCGGACCACGGGGGGCCAGCGAAGGACCCCCGCAGACCTGGATTCCCGACCAAGCGGCAGCGAAAGAACCGACCGCAGCCGGTGGATATTCCATACGAACGACGAGGCCGCCGAAAGCAGGGAACACCGGCGGCGAAGAGAGCGACACGGGTGCACTCCTAGACGAATGCGACAACGCCGAAATGACGGGATCGTTTCTGCACCTGCACGTTGCCATCAACTCCACGGGACTGGACCTCGGCCAAATGGAAGCCCACTACACCGTAATGGATCGTGGCCTCTCCGGAGATCCGAACATGGTGATCAACGGCGTTCCCGACGGACCCTGCGGCGAACTCAACATGATTGCCGTGTCCAATCCCTGCGTCATCGATCCCACCCTGGCTCCCGAGGGATACATGGTCCTCCACGCCTACGGCGCGGGAAACGAACCCTACGACGTTTGGGAAAAATACCGCGACGACCGAAACTCCCCCGAATACAAGCGCCTCAAGGAAGAACGCTCGGAGGTCTTGTGGACCGCCCTGGAGAGCGTCGTCCCGGACGTCCGGGAACGGGTCGTCCTCGATCTGGTGGGGTCCCCCCTGACGCACGAGCGCTTCCTGCGGCGGCCGCGCGGGACCTACGGGTCGGCGACGGAAGACTACCTCAAGGACGGGAGCACGCCGATCCCGAACCTTGTCCTGGCGGGGGACCAGATCTTTCCCGGCATCGGCATACCGGCCGTGGCGATCTCCGGTGCCAGTGCCGCGAACGCCATGGTGAATCCACTGAAGCACTGGACCGCCCTGGATGCGCTGACGAAAGCCGGCAAAATATGATCCCGGCACCGCGGAGCGGCTTCTTGATTCAGAGTCGTGGCGAACCACGACATTCCACATCAAGGAGTGCTTGAAACGTTTGGTATCTGTCGGCAAACAAAATGTTTGTTCTGAGATTGGAAGCCCATCTCGATGTCACATCCCTTTCATCTCGTGCTTGCCGAAATGCATTGAAAAACAAGGAGAATGAATTGAAAATAGGATGTGCAGTCGTGGAAAGTGGTAGGGCTCCTTGTTCGAATTCAATTGACCCTTTTTTGGAGAGGCATAGTGAAATCACTTCTCAAGCACAATCACCAAATTGAAATATACAAAATAAGCTTCCGGTACGACTCTTTTTTTCAGAACTACTTGTACAGATTACCTTCTAGCTGTCACGACCTCTTCACGATACGGTATTTATGAATCGTGGTCTGTGATTACAGTAAGTAGTACAGTACGTACTATCTTACTACCCGTACTCCTATTTTTTTTACTGTATTGTACCGTACGAACTGTAATACTGTAATAGTCATGTGACCCTGGTTTTTGGAATGTTGTGTCGGACTTCATCAGTACGTGAGATTTTTGATTCTCCTCCCCTCTTTTTTCGACGATGAATGATGACTCACCAACGACATGAAAACTCTTTTTAGAAAACAAATGCGAATAATAGGGTTGACCAAAAATGCTCTTGATGAATCAGCATCATCGTTGTCATTCCTCTCAAAATATATTTTTAGAAAAACAATGCTGTTTTGAATCCTATTTCCCGCCGGTTTCCTAAAATCGTCAGAACTACCGATTTTGATTGGTACGTAGTATGAGAAAGAACGCGCAGGTGCTGTTGAAGATGTCTCGAAATCTGTCGGAAGACGCAAAAGCAACTTTCTCAAAAATCTAAAAAACTCGAAATAGACTGCCGTAAGTTCGTATTCATACCGTACCACTTCATACCGCTTCCAACCATACTAGCGCGGTACCACACATTGATTTTGCTCTGCAACGTTGCAGTATCTTTGCCGCGAGATACACCCGTCTGCGATATGGCCTGTCAGTAAGGGGGCAGAAAGGCTGAGAACGAAAGCAAGAAACCGGCGCACAACACATACAAGGTGTTTGTGGCAAACCGTCGCGGAATCACAGGCGCTTTGAGTCCGTCGTTTCTATCGGTCTCCGCGAGTTCATCGTGCCGCAGACCTCTCTGCATTCAAAATAGATAAGATGAGTTTCTACGACTCCGTGAACGATGAGAACGAGGAGAATTTCGTTGTGCACACAAAACGAGACGCTGGTAGCAACGGGAACGGTGGACCATGGCAGCAACGGTATTGGGACGTGCAAAACAACGATGGTCCCAACCGAGGCGCTCGCACAAGCGATGTCTCGAACACTGCCAGTAGCAAGAAGGAAAGGAGAAGCAACAGCAAGTTGCACCAGTTGCTTGTTCGCTCTCCACGGAACTGCGAAGGACAACAGAACAACACCGTGTCCAGCAATGGGAATAGAAAGGTGCTGGCTTCTCAATCCAAGCCGGTGCTTCCACCTTTGAACCACAAACCCAATGCCACTTTCAATTGCATTGACCGCTATTCGCCGGTGATGACAACGATAAACGGCTCTTCGTATGCACCGTCTTCCACGTCAATAGGAACGCTGACAACACAGACAACAATCGCCTCCTTTGCAACACCGTTCACTACTCCTACCTCGAGGAGGACCCCGAGTTCCACGTCCGTTTATTCCGCTCTGACGTTTGTCGACGACGAGGAGATTGATTTTGGTTTGGTCCACCGGGACCCCAAAAGACTCAACGGCGATCGAGACGATGAAGAATCCCAATCCGTGCTTTCGATCAAGTCACCACTGATTTCGAAACTGCTCAGGGACGATTTGGGGCGAGTTGACGACGAGAACGGTGGAAATGGTCTGGATTTTGGTTCGACGACGAACGTTGACCAAGAGAAAAAACGAAGCCGTCGAGTCAAAAGTTACGAAGCCGAGAGGAACACTCGTGATCACAGCATGGCATCGTCTGCATGCGAATGCGCATGTTCTTGGTCCATGTGGATTTGCCTGTGGGTAGTGCTCTTTGCTTTGTCCTCAAGCGACAACGAGAGCTTTGGCATACACGTCTGGGACCGAATATGGCGCGTAACATCTACGTTTTGGATACCTGATGGAGATTCCGGTCGAGGGCGAGACCATGTCACCAGCATTAGGAACCAATGGATAGCAGTCCACGTTTTTGTATTAGGTTCATTGGGGTTGATGGGACTAACTTTGGGCAAGTGGGGGAATGCTGTGATCAGAGCCTACGAGGTAGCCGTTGCTTCGTCATCCATTTTACACGAAGACGAGTGTATTGTCGAAGCCCATCCTTATCATCTCTCTACCCGAAAGAGAGGACGACAGGATCAAATTCGATCAAGATCACGACCAAGACATTCAAAAGGTGGCCCAGTGGCCGACGAAAACCAGGTTCTGTACGGATCTTTGTCTTCATCATCCTTTAAGCATCAACAGCATGATTGCCATGATGGTCCATATCTGTTCATACAAAACGAGCAGGAAAATCGTCGTCAAGCCGACAGCGAGAAGGACGATTGTTTGGTCCTCTTTCCACACCTTCAGTGGTTGCTCATTCAAACTATTGCTCTGACGATTTTGTCGATAGTCTGCGCTAATACCGTTTGGTACCCCGCAGGAAATCAAGACACTCCACCTTACAACTACTACGATTTGGCCTCAAAATTATCTCAAGATGATATCACTGCTGAGACTAGAGAAGTTGGAGTCAAGGACGGTTACGATGAACGGGGCTTTGTCTCCATTACGAATCCTGCCTTTTGGGCCACGAAAGCACCTGGTACGAAAGATTCCCTCGCGCCAGTCTCACCGAAGGAAAAACTAATGACATTATTTTCCGTACTCTCGTGCGCAATGACTTCTTTGTATTGGGTTGCATACATAGCACAAAGATACATTCAAAAGTCGCAGCAGGTGCATCACCAGCGGAAGCAGCAGACAGTAGTGGAAGACGGCAAGTGTGTTGGGTTCGACACCAACCGCTGCAACTTTGATTCTCATTCCGGTGAAATTATATTTGTTGAAGACGGCAACATCAATCTTTGCCATCAGACTCCCGTTGCAAAACTCGAGGACGAGGACGATGATTCGGCCATGTGTGTCTTAGCGCCACCAGCAACTCTGGCAGCAAAACACGAGGAGTCACCCTCCTCCCTGGAAGAATTCTATGAACGCAAGCTACAACAGATGGGGTTGGTCGACATCGAGACATTTCGGGTTCTGAAAAGGAAATACGCCCKGCGGCAACAGAAAAATTTGTGACGGGCAACGAGAGATCTACGAAATTCAGTTGAGCATGATCGGTTACTTCCTTCCTTGGTACTGTTGCTCCTGACTTTCCAGAACTAAAATTGCGGAATAGTTATATGAATAGCGCCGTGAATGATACGGCCACATAACACTCCCTGTGGAAAGCAAATGCACGGGAAGATTCTGATGTCAAAATAAGTAAATCGATTGCGTTGATAGTGTAACTTGTAATGTTAACTGTTGAATAATCATGGAGTATTCCAAACATTCTGCTCCGACTATTGCACCAGTCGTTCCTCCAATCTTCTCTAGTAATAGATCCACTATTTCGCCATGTCTACAGAGAAGGCTGTGTGACCATAGGTGATTATTGTTTCTGATTGATAATTTTGTGTTAAGATCATTCGTATGTTCATGGTATTGCTTCTGTCGAACTATTAATGCATACGAACATTCCCTTCCCATTTTTTTTCTGAAGCAAGTCATTTTTGTTGTGCATTCTTACACCCCTCACCTCGTCATCGAGTATTGCATTCTAAAGTTTTGTTGCAACGAACCACTCCTTTTCAAATATTTGAAACCCTTGTCATTTAATCCATGGAAGACATCATTTGTAGGATCACGTGGTAATTTTATGTGAAGTTCTCTTTTTCAGCAATGATGTTCATTCTTCCAAGTCGTCGTCACCGTCTACCAACAGCAATCCACCGTTGAATTCATCGTCCATCCTTGTCGACGATCGCCAGTAAGACGGCTTTTTGTTGCTTATGTCTCCTAGTAAATTCAAAGCTTCTTTCGAAACTTCATCCAATTTATAGTATTCTCGAAATTGGTGCGTATCGGTAATGCTGCAGTAATACTTTCTATTTCCAGGATCCGTATCTGCATCACTGTCATCGTAAACAAATCGATTCATGACAACCAGTTTCGCATTTTGACTATTGTAAGAACTTTCGAATTCTTCGACCGTTAGTTGAAAGTATCTCATCAAGAGTAATCTCAAGGTCAAGCCATGACAGACAATGAGGATATTCATATCTGCCATTGCACACAGCGGATTACCCGCTTCGGTCTCGTTTTCGTTCGCTTTGTTGTTGGTCTCTTGATTGCGAAGGTAGGAATATCGCAAATCGATTTGTTTGATATCTCTCGACAGCGTTGCTAAGAAACTACTACATCTACTGTATACATCCATTCCCGACTCGCCCTCAGGAAAGCGGAAAAAGAACCGTCCAAAAGTCCGTCGTTCTGATTTCGCTGTACGGACCTTGTGTGGATTTTCTGTGTGTGAGTAGATGATTTCAATCATTGCATTTTATGCACGGCAGTGCCAAGAAGGAGCATGCAATTTGTATGAGTTAGTGGATAATGCGTTGATAGAAAATACAGATAAGGGTATGTTTCACAACCATCATGACCTGAATTGTACTTACGAAAATTCCCAAACTGTTGTTCGGCAACTCTTGGTTCTTCTCTCATTCCAATTATTTCCACCCCAACTCTATCTTTATCGTTGCTACTTTGTTCTTCGTCATTCTTTTTCTTTTTGTTGTTGCTTTCGATGTAATCCTCAATGATATCCCAAGTTCCAATCGCCCGTTTGTAGGGACTACAGTAGGCAAAGAGGGCCTCTCCGTCGATCAAATCTACAAGTTCTTTAGCAGCTCGCAATGCCTGCCTTTCTCCTCTTAACCGATCAAGAATCGACAAATCAAACTGAATATGAGCCTCCTGTATTTCGATCGGTCTTAGCAACAAGTACTGTCTTCAATACTGAAAATTATTCTGCTGATCAATCTCAAGGATTTACTCACCGCCTCGTCAACGGTATTTTCCAATCTGGAATGGTCGAGTAGGCCGTATCATCAACATTTCCCAATGACTCTCCATGACGCAATAGAATTATTCGTTTTGGCAACAGATACTTGACCTTCTCATGTTTGGTAGTCGTTGATGAAAACGCCAGGGACCTTGTTTTCATAAGAGATGCAGATTGTGGATGACGAACCCGACGACATCGAGACGGAAGACGGTACCTGCTACTGCGGGCTATGTTCATTCCTACCGCAGGATTCATGGTCTGAACTCAGTGTTGGATGGAAAAACTCCTGAGTGATGTTTGTTGCCAGGAGCTACTTCGTATCGGCAAGAGGAACGGTCGTCTGTCTTCACTGGAGGCAATCAGGTAAATCAAAAGAAATTGATGTTGGCTTGCGGTACACATAAACTAATAAAATATTACAGAAACGTGCGTGCTTCTTGATTTCAATGGTTGCATTTGAGAAATTGAGAAAACACATACAAACGGTACGTACCTGGATGGAGCGTCAATCGTACTACTGCAAAGAATTTTGTACCAAGAAATATTTTTCGAAAAAAATGCCATTACCGTAATACATTCTGGATGGGCAAAATACAAAATATCCCATTCAGCCCACAGGAGTAGTAGGTACTACTAGCTACTACAAGCATATGTGATGATGTCTGTTTGAAATTCAATCATCAATTGGATTTTGCACTTGGGTTTTTGGGTGTTGTACTAGTCATCCCACCACTCCACTGCGGTTGTTGCCCATCATCTACTAGTAATGGTCCTTGCTGATTGCTGTTTGTCTGATTTTATGTGGTTTCAATCACTGCTGGTGGTGGTTTGTTCTTCATAGTAAGTGGTGACTAAAGTGTCTCTTAAAACTGCTCTGCTGCCTGTATCTCAATGGTATTTGGCATCTTCTCCCCCTGCTACTACTGGTATTTCTTGTTAATCTTTAGGCACCAGTTCTCTGCCACTACTACCACTACTACTACGTCACACAAACCGGATCTATGGTACTGCGCGTTTCACGCGGTTGACACCATCGAAGTTTCAGGGTCAACCCTTAGTCTTTCGTGATTGGATAATAGTTTACAAAATCCCCGCACAACTTCATATATCCAGAACATGTTTCCGAAAACCA